TCATAAACCTAGGAATTTAATTCAGTTTCAATGAAATGGGCGGACCAGAGGTTGGGGAACACTGATTTAAAGGATATGAACTCGAGTTAATGTCCAGTTCCATACAATAGGTAAAATTTTGAAATTCAATTCTATTTTAGATAATTACTCAATTTCAATTTTAGATAATTACTTAAAGGAAATCCTTTTTATCAATCAATTTCAGTCCCAAAATATTTTAACAAAACATTTCTAGAAAAAAGGGCGCTATAAAAATTTAAAACAAAATTTCTAATTTTAATTTTCTGGCAGTCACATTTGTGTCAGTTATTTCATAAAGAAATCTCTTCAATGACCAAACAAATACTGAAAATGTAATCATAATATTGCCTTTGTGGAAAATATATAAGTACTGATCACTAATTCTACTTTCATGAGAAATAAACAATCTGTGACTACCACTACTTAATAACAATTAAAACATACATATTTATTTTTGAGATTTCTTTTTGAAACTATTAAATAAATAATTCCAAAAAGCTGAAATGGTAAGATATTACTCGATTAAAAACTTTAATCTCTTTAAAAAATATATTAATAAGAAATACCTGTTNCGATTCCATCTGGGGGTAAGCGGAGACAAGGATACATTACAAACATTAAAAAATGTATGTCACTACCTTCAGGGGCCCATTTTTTTTAAATAAATGACATTTTAATGAAACACCGATATTTTTAATTTGAGTCATAAACCTAGGAATTTGATTCAGTTTCAATGAAATGGGCGGACCAGAGGTTGGGGAACACTGATTTAAAGGATATGAACTCGAGTTAGTGTCCAGTTTCATACAATAGGTAAAATTTTGAAATTCAATCCACCTTCCAAGCAAAAGAATAAGAAAAATAATAATTTAAAAAAAAAAAATCAAATTATTTTAGACAATAAGTTAAAGGAAATCCTTTTTATCAATCAATTTCAGTCCCAAAATATTTTAACAAAACATTTCTAGAAAAAAGGGAGCTATAAAAATTTAAAAAGAAATTTCAAATTTTAATTTTGTGGCAGTCACATTTGTGTCAGTAATTTCATAAGGAAATCTCTTTAATGACCAAACAAATATTAAAAATGTAAATATAATATTGCCTTTGTGGAAAATATATAGTAAGTACTGATCACTAATTCTACTTTCAAGAAAAAAAATAATCTGCAACTACCACTGCTTAATAACAATTAAAACATACATATTTATTTTTGAGATTTCTTTTTGAAACTATTAAATAAATAATTCCAAAAAGCTGAAACGGTAAGATATTACTCGATTAAAAACTTTAATCTCTTTAAAAAATATATTAATAAGAAATACCTGTTATTTCCTATTTATATATTTTTAAAGCAAATGAAGTTTTCAATCATGCAACATAATAAATGATAACTATGAATCTTTTACTCATTGCAAAAAGAAGGAAAATAATGAAATGTAAAATTAGAAGTCCTGGTGCATCTTATTTACTATTTGAGATTAAGGTTTCAAGTTTGAAAAAATCTCTTTAAACATTGAATCGCGAGCCTCTTAAATTCGTTTTAGCATTGTTACTAAATAAAGAATATTTTAATAAGAAAAAAATTATAAAATATTACCTGAATTAAAAATAACTTCAACTTTCACTTATTTTCTCTCCATGACCGCGGAAGTGCCTGGCGTCAAAACATACTTGCGTATTCATTCACACATCGTCCATGTCGAGAGAAAAAAAAAATGATATGTATCAATAGATAAAAGTATCTATCTGGCACACATTAATATTTTTAAGACTTTCTTAAACGATAAATCATGTCACTAATTAAAAAAAAAAAATAACGATAAACTCAAAATAAAAGTTTTCAACTACACCGTTCGCTAATCTCTTTGATGTACGATAAAGAAAGTTAAAAAAAAAGTTCTAATAAAACTGACTGTTAATTTCCTTAGTGGATTGTTAGTCGTGCGCCTCTCAGTTGATTACTCACTGTCCAGATTGGGCAAAAAGCCATTTTTCCGAGTTTAGTAAATGGCATTATTGAATCACGTGGGTAAGATGATCCCTTCCTCCTTCTCACCTTCCCCGACAGAAGATCGCCAGAGGAAAGTTTTAAAGGTTGTCACATCTGGCAAAAAATCGCTTTCTTTATTGATTTATTTTGATAGGAGAAGAAGGGAAATAATAAAACTGTGGGCAATTCTTTCCTAATACGTTAGTTTATTAAGAATTATTGGCGTAAAAGCCCTTTTTGGCAATACAACTTGTTTTATAAAAAAAAACATTCTACTAAAAGTTTAAGCTAAATAGACTTATAAAAACCAATGTTCCTTAGATAATTAAAAATGTTATTGTGGAGTTAATCCGCAATTAATAATAAAGTCAGTATTAGATTAACAAATTTTAAAATTTTTTTTGTTTTTTTGCCGTGTTTGAAAATCGAAAGAGTACCTGCTGGTTTCGAGTGTTTAACTTAACGTTACATTTTGTCTTGCTGCGAAAAAACTGAGAAACTTAGAAACTTGAAATGACAATATTGTATGCACAGATGTATTAGGAGTACGATAGGATAAAAAAATTAACATTAGATTATTATTTCGAGAACTAATAACTAAGACTAAGACTTTCGACAACTAAGACTTCCAGTAAAAAAAAAAATAATAAAATTTAAAAAAATCCCATGCAGACCCTGTAAGCCGCAGGAATGCAGCTAAACACTCGAAATTTGAGTTGCTGAAAGGGCCATTTTTGTTTATAAACTTAAAACTAATTTTTAAAAAAAAATTATAATTTGTTCGAAAGTTACTGCAATATTAAGTGCTTTGTTGCTAATATTTCTCACTTTTTTGCCTGTGATTATTTCTGTTAGGTTAGTGCAGAAAACTAAAACTATTTACGAGAAGAAGGAATTAAAAAAAATTAAGATTCAATGCGAGAATTACACTGAAGAGCCACAAAGAAACTGGTATACCTGCCCGTGTAGGGCCCCAGCGAGAACGCAGAAGTGCCGCAACACGACGTGGCATGGATTCGATCAATGTGTGAAGTAGTGCTGGAGATAATTGACACCATGAATCCTGCAGGGCTGTCCATAAACCAGTGGGAGTAAGAGGAGGTGGGGATATCTTCTGAGCATCATGTTGCAAGGCATCCCAAATATGTTCAATAATGCTCATGTCTGGGGATTTCGGTGGCCGGCGGAAGTGTCTAAATTCAGAAGAGTGCTCTTGGATCCACTCCCAGACATGAGCATACTGTACATTAATGTACAGTATGCCGGGAGAATATATTATAAAATAATGTTTTCGTGACATTTAAAAAAAATATTTCCCTATAAATCCACAGTATTCTATTCATCTTTAAAAGTATAAATAGAGTATCAAGTTGCAAACTGAACGTCAAATTGATTAAAGAGCACTTTTACCTACATTTGGTAAGATTCAATTACATATTACAGTATACTCTCGTTATCACGAACTTCGATATCTTGAAAACCTTATTAGGTCAAAAAAAATACTTTCCCCCTTGGCGCAACATATCCACCTAATGTTAATTTGAATTCTTATGTCGAAAGGTTTCTTCTCAAAACCTTGCTGTGTCGAACTTTTTTTTGAAATAGACAATGATTTTTTTCTCGGAAAAATCGCAATGTAAACCAATTTTTTTTCTATTTAATGCATAATTGTTCTTGTCTTACGTTTAAAAATAAAATTATCATTGTTGTATTTAGACTTATAGTCAGCTATCATTACATACATATTTAATAGTAGTTATTCTTATGTTTCATTATCCTACTTTTTAGAGTAATACTTTAGAATGTATTTTTTTTCTACTTTTTAGAATTTTATTTAGTTCTGAACTTAATATCTCGAAAACTCGCTATCTCGAAATTTTTTCTCACGTCCCTTCAACTTTGAAATATCGAGAGTATACTGTATATTGAAAGTAAAAAAAATTTACTTCTCATTTATTATTTCTTATTGGGTAACAGATTCGGTAATCTCAAGTTTAAATATTTTTTTCGAATACAGTTGAATATTTTACAAATCCAAATAATCGTTCATTTTGTTAGTTACGACTGACACATTAGCAAACTGTTCTTAGACATAAAATGATAATCCTTATATATTTTATAAACATAATGGTCTATCTCTCTCTCTTTCTGAAAAAGGGAGAAAATAATGATGAATAAGAGGCTACCATGGGGGTTGGTGAGCGGAGCGTGCCGGGGCAACACGTCCTAGAAGAAAGAAGGCCTCAGCACGGATCAATTTAGTAGTCCGATGTAACGAACATAACCTGCTCAGTGGATGAAAAATAAGACAAATGTCATTGCGTTCGGACTACTAAGCTGCTCAGTGGTGGCTAATACGAAAGATGTCATTACGTTTGGACTACCAAAGGATCGAATTTCTTGTCTATGGTAACCCGAACTGAGGTCTTTTCTTTTCTAGGAGGCATTGCTAGCTCTGTCCAATGAATAATACAAGCTTCAATAGTTTTTTGACCGTCCCAAAGCACCATCCATGCTATGCTATATATCAATTGCTGATTCATCATAATCGTCGACAAAAACAAACTAACAGACACAAATGTAAAAAGAGGAGATTGATAAGAACCCTATAAAAAGTTTATTTTGATCTAAAAATTAAAAACGTAGGACACATCACTTCGAAAATAAATGTACCGAAAATTTCGCTGATGTCTTTGCAAAGTGATGCGTTCTAAGTTTTTCGTATTAGGTCTGACGAATGAAAGTAAAAGTATGGTCTCCTTTTTTGGCCTGCTTGCAAAACGTAGTTTTTAAAATTTTTATATAGTGCTTTATTCTTCTTCCGTTTAAAAGCTAGAAGTTCTTAATAAATATACATTCTTTTTTGTTGAAAATTGTAAATTTGATGTAAACAAACATAATGAAATTGCAATGAATATAAATTTAATATGCAGTTTTTCTCAGCAGGTTAATAGATTTCAGCAAAAGGATGAATTAAAATCAAGATTCATTATGAGTCTTTTCGTAGATATTTAAAATTTGCTTTCGTCATCTGAAACGCCCACTCAAATTTCGCTCTTTGAGTTTTTGTAAAAATTCGATCTATGTGAACCTTATATTTTTTACACCAAGCTACCGAAATTCTAGGATCGCAGTAATTTAACTTCGACGTTGACAGAGCAATGTGTTTATTCAGTAAGTGTTTTTCCTTAGTATTAATTAGCTTCTCCAACTGTTCTTCGCAAGCTTTTATCATTCGCTGTTTCACGGCCACTTTTCTCTTCGACTTCTCGTTTGGTAATTCTTCCTTGAAGTCTCTAAAATCGTCAAGTTCGGTCCTGAGTTTCTTTAACTTTTTTTGCCTCTCGCCTATTTTCATCTTCAGCTGTTTTGTTCGTTTATCGAAGTTCTTGGGAGGCATCCTTCGGTGGTTGCAAAGTACAGCAACTTCCCTATTCGCTTGTTCATACGCTCTAACTTTCTCAATCATGTTCATGTTCTTTTTTGTGAACACCTTCAGCTGTTCTTCGAACACTTTAGAAGCATTGTAAGTACGAAATACTTTCGCGGACAATCCTTCCATTATCGTGTGCAAGTGCTCGTTCAGTGAAGCCGGCGTTATTTCATCAAAGAGTTTGTGCTTTGGACCTTTGCCTTTTAGCAACTCCTGTATGGCCTTAAAGACTAATGGTTCGACTTCGACTGTATTTTTATACTCCATAGAGTCTTTAGAAAGAAAATGAAAGCTTACGACACACTTACGACCCATTTTTCTCAGATTAATATGTTCTTTTCTAAGCGAACAACAGCCAATAGTGTCTACTTGATCCTTCCCTTTTTCATTCCCAACTCTTAACGCCAAACGATCTATAAAGTACAAAGCTACTGATGTTTGCTTGTATACGGGACAATCCGATTTCATACCTTTCATGTAATCCTTTTTAATTTTATTGCTATATTTATGCAGAGCTCTCGACAATTCGAACTTTGCAATGTCGCCTTCTTCTCTTAATGTAGAGCTTGGACTAAGAAATACATACTTATAAGTGTTGGATATGTCGTCAAACCAACATGCCAACCACGTGACAGTGTTGTTGTGCACCACTTCCCTCCATTTCCCACCTACACTTGGTTTCGGTACTTTGCAACCCGTTGATAAATTGATGGTAACATCGTTTGGCGTGATTCTTTTTTTCAAAGTTCCCATTTTCGGGTGATTGCCTCGGCCTCTAAATAAACCTGGTGGCTCGACTTTGTAGTTCCCAATCTTTTGTTTCTTGCCATCTACCATACACCAGGCGTATTTTTCCTCTAACTTTTCCCGCTTTCTTTTCTCCCGTTGCTTTTTCTCCTTGCTCCATTTTTTCTTGGCTTCGGCTTCTTTCTCAAAATGCTGCGTAATCTCCGTGAAATTGCACTTTTCGAGATAAGTAATTTTCTTTTGCTCTCTCGAAGTCATCGTTTCTCTCCAATCTCTCATAAAATTTTCGTTGAACGTCACATTTTTCACGTATTTCTCCTTAAGCATCTTGGCGTAGAGTGTGGCGACTTCTTCAGCTTTCCTATTCAACTTGAAACGTTTGTTATTGTACTTGAAAGAGACATTTCTTGGCAAAGGCTTGTATTTTGGTGGAAACATGGGACCATTGTGTTTAAGCTTTCTCCATTTAACTCTACCTGGACGCGTTTTTTTAATCAGTTTTGTCAAACTCTTAGCTGTTCTCTTTCTCTTTTTAGGTTCAACCTTCATTTTAAACTACTAAAAAAACTATAATTTCCTTTTGCAACGAATTTTGATTTGTTTGTTTACTATTCAGCCACATATATGATTTTTGTTTCATACATTCTTGAAACCTGCATCATACTTTTGCTAACTTCCATAAAAGGGATTAGAACAGCAGAAACATGTGTTACTACAGAATATTCACTTTCTGAATGATAATAGTTATCAAGTAACAGTTTAAAAGTATATAAATATACGTAACTATTACAAATCACCGTTATTGTAACTGGGTCATAACAGATATTCACTCTCTGACTGAAAATAGCTATCAAATAACAGTTTCAAAAAAAAAAAAAAAAAAAACNTATACAGTTATAGGTACCTATTACAAAATCATCGTTTCTAGATACTGTTCTCATTGGACTTGTCCTTGCAGAAGAATATTTTTTATTTTTGCTGTTTACTACGTATTCAACGCAAAAGATTATGCTAGATAGTATTCATCGTATACCTGGTTCTCTCTTCTTTCAGCAGACAACAGAGGTGTTTATAACTTCCTTTCGATGATACGAATGCATTGATATACAATTTACACTAATCTGAGCTATGACGTCATAGGTGGATTGCAAGACTTCCGGTTTGATTTTTTTAAAAAATTTTTTAGGATATTGGGTGAAAAGTAGTCTGCACAAAATTTGCGATCCATTTCATCTTCCACGGTACGTATCTCTATATTTTATTTGAGTTTCTGGGATTAAAAGTAAGTTTATAGAGCAAAGAAAATTTCTTTGTTGTTGCCGTAGGCCATTAAGGCAAAGGGGGGCGATTGTTCGTAGTTTCCAGTGGAGCCATCTATGGCCAAAAACTCGACTTGTGCACGCATACGTCACACCCTTTTACATAGCGGGCCCTTTCATTCATCCACAGATTGTAATTTTGACCTGAACCAGAGAACGATTAATCTCCAATCCAGTACCCCCAGATACATAATTTGTTATCCGAACATGGAGGACTTTATGACCCGACAGATTGAACGTGGACCATTTACTACACGGTCACCATTTACTACACGGGGAGTCTTCAGTCGGCTGGGAGTCACGAACGGGAGTTCAGTGCTCTACCAACCAGGTACCCCGGTCAGAGAATTTCCTTACTCAATTATATAACTGTTTCAAGCAAACTAAAATTTTTGAATTTTTGATCAAAATTTCTAGACCATACACAGAAAATATTATTTGATTTTTTAAAAAAAAATGTCTGTAATGTCCAATGGGATTGACCACTTTTGCCGTGTATTACATTTCCTTTGAAAAAAAAATTGAAAGATGTGGCACATTTCTAGAGTTATCCCCAAAAATGCGTCTGTTTGTATACTTGTGGACATGAGTGTATGTTGCTCTTGTTACTCCAGAGTTATAAGTGCTACAATACTGAAATTTAGATAGCGATATCTTATGCGTTCTTGCAGGGCACAGAAATGCTTTGGGCTTCTATAGCACGTCATATTGTTTGAAATCGAACTAAAAAACTTCACATACATGAAATAAAGCATTTTTATGATATGCAATAATTTTAACAAATTTAAACACATTTTGATTACCCCAAAAACTCAATGAACATAACTATGCACAATTTAAAAAATAAATAAGATTCTAATCAGTTTCAATCCTCAAATAATAAAATAATTTTCTAAACCACGAAAGCTAATTAAAATAATTAAATAAAAAACGCAAAGGTATAACAAATCGAGAAAAAAAATCAAACGGTGTGAAATATTTTGTCAAACTTAGCAGTTATTAAAACAATTAATCTTTCAATGAGCAACAGCCATTACCAGTTTAGAAGTTGCTGTCCCTCCAAACTCTTACAATTATTGCTTTATTCAACTCATTTCAAATACTAAAAAGAGTGGGTAGTGGTCAAGCATTTTTATGACTTAAAACTTGCTCACATTCATTTATTTTACAGGTGAGTATAAACCTTAGAAAGTAGAATGACAGATGTCGGTTACCCTTTTAAGTTTTTCTGGTGATAAACTATCCAAATTATTGATAATCCATAACTATTTCTAGAAAGAAAAACAAAATGCACACTTTATACAATATATTTATTTTCGCACGTGGCAATGAAAAGGCAGACCAGCTAGCCAAGAAAGGGACACTCGAACCACAATGTAATAAACCGATTCCACCAGACTCCCTTAAAAAAAAAAAATTTCCGAGAAACTTATGGCCGACCTAAAGCGCAACCAAGCAGTAAAATCCACCGGAAAACCCTGGGCTAACATCCAAAACAGTTGGAAGAAATTTTGTCACAGTCCCCGTAAGAAGGCTGTGGCAAACTTCAGACTCTCAACAGGCCATGACTGCTTGGCAGAGCACCTCAACAGAATAGGTATTCTTCTATCTAGTGAGTGCCAAATCTGCAATTCGGGAACTATGAACTCAGACCACTTGCTTGTATGCCCTTTACTGGACAAACAATCTCAAGAGCGGGGTGATCTCTGTAAACTTTACTGGGATGCCAGAGATCACTCTGTAAAGACTACTCTTCATTCTTCACTGTATATAGTTTTTTTAATTTAATTTTATCTCTGTGTTCTTTTTGTGTTAATATGCGTTTGTCATGTGTTTTCTTTGCTTGTTAATGTAATTTTGTTCCTTTTTACTCCTTGTTTATGTCCACTTAAAGCTGAACATTGTATATGGATTAATATTTCCAATAGAGTCATATGTAACAACACAAACATATATTTATTTTAAAAAATATGTAAAGCAAAGTTGTTTGTTCTTAGTTTTTTTTTAAAATAAAAAGTAAGATTATCAAGCCTGTTTGTGCCCATATGTAAAGATGGTACTGCATTTTCGATTACATTAAGATCGTAAGGTATCAAACTTTTTTATTAAAAGTAGAAAAACAAGAGACAAAGCGATGCACTGAGTGAAATCACTTTTCGTGATCAATCAATTATCTTTTATTGTTTCGTCTCTTTATTGTTTTGTTTCTTATCTAGTCTATCAATAGATATTAGTTGGAATAGCTCCGTCCAAAAAATTTTAAAATATGAACAGTGTTTGTCTAATGAACACTGTTCAACGGTAGAATTACTATCTTTTATTCATCTGATTGGCTAAAATGTAATAAAGGAACATATTCTCTGTAAGAGTTCTAATTGTTTGAATGAATTGTAAATTCCGTCAAGGAGTCAACTATACAGTAAACAGTACACGTTCAATTATTAATTCGGTTATTTTTAAAAAAATCGGAATTGTTCTATTATACAGGGTGTTCCAAAATTATCTTTACAACTTCAAAAATTCATAACTTCGAACATAAACAAGATATTTAAATTCTGTCTTTTGCATGTATTACTGCAAGTAATAAAGTTTTTTTCCCAATAGGCTGAAAAGTTTTAAGTGAGGATGTGGACACCACAACAGAAAGCTCAATGCGTCTCATGGCCGTATTCGCTCCACATTTTTTAGGTCATCAAANAGGTTATGTCAAGGTACGTCTCTTGTGAATATCAATTGATTGTTAGGTTTTCTCTTTTCTAATTGCCATTTATATTTCACCAAATGCAGCCATTAGGGATATTAAATTATTTATTGCAAAATCTTTATTGCCACTATCCACTGCAGGTTCACAAGATCTGGCAGCCGTTACTGGTGAAGAAATTGATTATTGTGAGCGGCCTGTGATCCTTGCAGGATATTTAATGTGAATTTCTCGTTACCTGAAGCTGAAACATTATTTACCTTCCTTAACGACAAATTTGGATTGGAAATGAAAAATGGTAAGAATGATCCAACAACCAAAGGGGTAACTACCATTGATGCAGTTTTTCCAAGAAATATTGAAAAAATAGAACTCAAACATTTCGTATCTTACTTTAGTTATCATAATCCCATTGTAAATGTTATAGATTTGGATATTTCTCCACTCGAAAATTATAATTAAAAGATGCGATCAATCGTGGATTGTAAGCATTGTTAATAAAGTTTGTCTTAAAGAGACAATATGATTTCCCTAAAAATCAATTTCTACCCCTTCCTATTTTCATTTCCACATTACGAAGTTTCACTTCTTCCGCGAGGAGGGACTTCACGCACTGTTTTTTTTTATTTTCTTATATTTTAACATTCTCTCTGAGACAAAAAAAAAACAACAAAAAAAAGCAACAACATGATTTCCGTGCATGTATACTAACAGTTATTTCTCTGTATTGAGCTATTATCTTAGTGGAAGTTTCGGGCACCGATAAAAAAAAACCTGCATGGAAACAATTCTAAGAAACAGTTTGATGTAAAAATACAACCTTTGGAAAGCAATATGACTTATCAGTAAGCTATTCAAATCCCTTTATTTGTAACAAAAGTTACAAAATAAAATTTTATTGTAGCAACATACGTCATTTTTAATAAATCCAAAAGATATGAATGAATCATTCATTTTGGATCTGTTACACTCTGTCCTTACCTGTTTAAAAATGCCCCCACCCGCACTATTGATAAATACGGAAAAAACAATGAATTTAGCATTTTAGATGATAGCACGAAAAGAGCGAAGAATAACTTTTTGTAAAAACCTTGAACATTTGTGGTCAGCTGGATACCTCAAACCTTGATGATGAAATAGAATAAACACATCCCAATTCATTCATTATATTTATTTATTTTGCAAATTCTTTATATTTGCTATTTTCCCCTACATTTCCACTTGTATTTATTTTTTTAATTTTGCTCATTGATTGATTTTTTGCTTTTTACGGTTAGATTAACTTTTTGATTTTTACCTGGAATTTTTTAAAGTAAAAAAAAAATTTTTTAGAAACTTTTAATAACATTACTGCGCTAATTAGCAATCGTTAATTTTTTATTTTTAATGTTGCAACGTTAACACCAAAATATTCCAGTTCATTATTAAACAAACTCTTCGTAAATACATTTTTCTTTAGCTTTTTTCCCAACATTATTTTAATTCTATGGTTGAGAACATAAAGAAAAGAAAGTTATCTTTCTTTGATT